GAACCAAACAACTATTGTATGCACTGAAAGCAGAAAGAATGCCTGTACCATAACCTTGCAAGGTACTTCTTTGTCGATCTCCACTCATCGCACCTTTCTCATCCAATAGGAAAAAGTAGAATGAGAGGCCACTCAAAGTATATATGACAGAACCATAAGCTGAATGTTGATACTGGATACAATTGGCTAGATGTTAGGCATTGGAGCTGTGACAATACCAGAGACTGGAAAATGAGAAAAGCTTCCATTGTTTCGTGAAAAGTGGAGATCATCAACTATGGTACTCTCTGTTAATTGTTATTATGAAGCTGTGCAGTATATTGCTGGTATATGTACTGAATACACCTTGATGTGACAATTGCTGACCATTGGATATCCATAGAATAGAGTTCTTATTCAATAAACAGTGCAAGGAGTAAAAAGTGCAGACATCCACACAAAGCAATCAGAGTTCACTTTACATAAGGTAGACCAGTACAGGTATATGATGAATTTTGGTTAGTTGCTATTGGTACATTGCTTTGCCTCTTGCACTAAATATTGACACATTTCATAGACGGCAGATAGGAATCCTTTGTGCCTTTCCCTGAGATCTAATGAGATCACATATGAGATTTCCAAGCAATGCTCTGCTGATGACAAGGCAATCCCAGTGTGCATTGTTTTGGCGAATGGAATTCTTTTTGCCCTTTCAAAGCAGGACGTGAATGCTCTGCAAGTGTAAGTATTTCAAAGTCACAGCATTTTACACCTGACATGTCTATGTTATTATTAATCATCATACATACTGTAGAGGGATGCATTGGTAGAATTTGATTTTTGAGTGTAAAGGTATCTAGTTCAGATTATTGCATATGGAGTATGACTCAGGGAGGAAGCCAGGCAATGATGATGTTACATTGTGTGAAGTTTAGATATTGAGTTGTAGTTCAGAAGGCAGGCTCTGTGAGGGTTGTGACACAAGGAAGTACATATTCATGTGGATGCTCTATTCAATACGGAAATATATATATTTTTTTAGGTCTTGACCATAGATACCCTTTAATTGCTCTTATTCCGTGTTTTTTGTACATCGCTATTTTATTGAAAAGAAAAATAATAAAAAAGACAGTACATAGCATGGATACATAACATAAAAGTTCTCACAGCAATAAAACAGTCTTTAATGTTGTCACTGGGGATTAGGAGCATGTACATGAGAAAAAAAATAGAACATTTACCAGTAAGAAAAGCAGACATCAAATATAGACTTAGCAAATAAACGTTACATAACACGATAAGAATCCTATTGTTATAGACAGGATCATGGTGCACTTCATAAGATAATGATCAATGGCTTTTTTTTTTTTATTTATTTGCCCATTAAGGTAGACCATTTATTTCAAAGGGGCTACCAACACGCGGGAACATACGTTAAAACATCCCTGTAGGATTCTTTAATGCAGCGAACCACAACACACGGCATGAGCATCATGATGAGCTGCAGGGCAGGTGCTTTGCTGCCTGCTGTAGTTGAGAATGGGGAAACCGAGCTAATGAAAACATGTCATGAAAGAAATATGGAGGCTGCTATTGCTGAGATCAGCTCCTAATTATGTTAGTTGCCTGGTTGTTATGCCAACCCTCTTGCTTTAACGTTTTTAAATCACTAGTATGGACCAATTAGGCAGGAAAGAACTTCTTACTTTTCTCCCACTTTTCCAGTATACATACATAAAACATGTTTTATTTTAGTTTAGGTAGATTGGTGAGGCGTTAAATGACCTGTCAGGTTTTTATTGCTGTCTGTGTCCCCACTAGGGAGATTTACTTTCTCTGTCTTGGTGACCACATTTCCTGGAACTGAAAATGATGGAAAAATCCAACCTTTTGAGTTGTCACCCAAACAGGAACTGAGATGAAATCTTCTAATGAGGACACCTGCCTAGGATGGGATTTACCTCACTTTCTCCTCACTTGTATTGACAGGAAAAAAAATGAAGGGAAGTATTTCAAATGGAACACATGTAAAAAACCTGCCAGGGTTAACCATATCCTACTATCCAAAATGAAAAAAAGAAAGGCTTTGTGTTGGAAATACTTTAAGGCCTTCGTTCTTAACTAGTGGGTCGTGACCCAAAAGTGGGTTGCGACCCCATGTCCAGTGGGTCGCCGCATGCCTTCCACTTTTCTAGGGGAGAGGCTTCTCCGCCTCCCTTTAGCACAGCACTGTCAATTCTCGCGCCGAGCAGCCATTTAAAATATGCTGCTCTGCGCCGAGTGTCGACTTGAGGTGGGGTGGATAAGGGCTATGGCTGCGTAGGAGCTCCATCCATGCTCTGCTTACAAGCTACCTTGCAATCCCTGTAGAGGTGCCTGGACAGGTGTTACATCACATTCTGGCTCCCGGCACCTCTACAGGGCACACATTTGTAGCTGTACAAGCAATGCACATATGGATGGAGCTCCATCACAGCACAGCAGCCCACACTGGACCGCCGGCTGAGGATCCACTCCAATTCTCGTAAGGTAGGGAGATTGGGTGGATCTTAAAAAGAAAAGAAAATATTCTGTGGCTGTTTGTGTCTGTCTGTGTTTTTGAAGGTGCTGGTTCACACTAGCACAGTGCGTTAATCACACAATCCCATGCGATTACCGCACTGTACCATGCAATCCCACCTACCGTGCAATCTGATGTGGGAGGTGCGTTGCATTGCCATTCATTTGAATGGCACTCCAAAAGCACCTCACACCCACAGTTTGATCGCCTGCACTGCAACATGCGGTACCGCAATGCTGTACGTTCCATTGCAGTGTGACTTGGGTCGCAACTTAATGATCAAGGACAAATGTGGGTCCTGAGGTTACATGGGTTGAGAACCACTGCTGTAAGGGATACATTTCAGGTTCTAACTGTGACATTTTGGATTTCCTATTAGAGGTCCCCAGGAAAAATAGACAGAGAAAGAATATCCCCAGCAGGGACACGACAAATCAATCCTGGCAGAGGTGCTATTGCTTCCCTACCTTCTAAATAAATCCTGTTTGTGCATATATTTTGGAGCAACAAAAACAATGGTGTCACTTTGCAGGAAATTTGCTTATATAATGATTTGCAACACTAATGTAATAGCTAGCAGTGAAAGAAACAGCCTGGTAAGCAGCCTGTTATTTTTTGCTTGACTGCAGTAATATAGCCAAACTTGCCTAATCTGTTTTAATAGCAACAAGATTATACTGCTTTTAATTCTATTTAAAGCTGAACTGCAGGAAAAAAAAAGATTTGTGCATGTTCGCTTTGTACCAGTAAATCGCTCCCATGTGTTCCATGATGTGTTGCATTATTGAAAAGATTATTTGTTCGTTTCAGCCCCAACAGTAGAGTAAGCTAGACATTCGCCGCAGTCCTGGTTCTCACACCGTGAGTCAACGCTGTGTGGGTTGCTCCCACACCATCTCCTCCATTCATACATTATTTTTTTTTGTATTCTTTTCACAGAATACATGGTGTTCTATGAATGGCCAAGGGAAAAGGGGGATGAATGTCACAATCTTCACCTCGCTCAAATATACAGACCACCTTGGGATTTATTTATGAACAATTCACCCTGCGTATCTCTGTGAATGTTTGTTCTGTGCGGATAAAGACAAAAATTATCATTCTTAGTATATTTTCTTTTCAGATCTAATGTAATGTGATTTAATACTATAATGTGATGTAATACTGCAATATGGCCACTAGATGTAGACAATGAGCATGGAAAAAATACTTATTTACTATGCTCCTCAGCTCCATCTAATATCCATAATGAGGTATTGCATTACATTCAACCTCAAAGGAAAAGTATTTATTTCCTGTGCCTATAGTGTAGTTCCACTTTTGCAGTCAAATTTGAGAAAATCCCACCATGGAGTCTATTCACTAAGCTGCCGTAGGCAGCCGAGTGAATGACCGACCTGAAGTGAAGTGAGCCGAATACTGTTCGGCTATTCACTTTAGGCTGGTACGGCTGATTTCAGCCATACTGTAATGGATCCCGGGGACGCCACCGTTCCGACTCACGAACCGAGTGGAAGCTCCGCCCCCGGGCCGTCGACGTCATACGAGACTGCCTCCGGCCTCGTCATAAGCCTCGATCTCCCACCTGTCTGGCGTTCCAGCAACCCTATGCGGACGCCAGACAAGTGCCAGTCTCAGTGCAGGCAAACAATCCACAGCTTCAACCACTCGACAGCTGAACCCCAGCTGACAGGCTACCTCGGGATCTCTGCGCTAGCGATACCAGCGTTACTCCCAGTCAACCTTCCAGACTCCTAAACCGCAAGTATTCCCCTCTGGGTTGCTACCCACAGGGAATTCAACTGTCTGCTATAATTACCTTGGACTCATATGTACTGTGGCATAGAAGATAAGGGGAGCCTGCCCTCTGCTGGCGACTAAAGAAATCGCATTAACCTCTAAGATTACACTGATACTGTGGAACATTTAACTCATACCTACCTTGATGAACTGTGATACTGTGTGTTTTCAGCTTTCAGCACGGCTCAGCCGAGCCGAGGCATATGCGATCGGCTCGACTGAGCCGCTCGGCCGTGATCGGGAGCTGTACGGGCTATTGTGAATAGCCCGTACAGCACCCCTTCGGTTCTACTGAGCAGAAGGGGTACTGGGGCCAAAGCTAGCCGAAGGATCGGCCGAAGCTACGGCTAGATCCTTCCTGAATAGACCCCTATGTTTGTTATGCGTTCCCATTTACACAGCATACCTAAAAATAATTTTTAAAAATGTATTTCTTGCCTTTTAGATATTTCTTTGATGAAGGCCTTTGTGAGGATTCCAAGCTATTCTGAGCAATTGGAAAGTTTAAACTTGAGAGACAAACTGAGGGACAGACTGAGCTTCTTCTCCCCGAACATAGATTTAATCTAATTCTTTAACCCTTTGTTAGGATAGGACAATGTGCAAATCTTGTTTAGAACTGATAATAAAAATCTGCCAGCACAGTACAGACAGGATTAATTAAACAACTTTCCACAGCCCACTCCTTAACATCAGATAGGGGGAAAGCTAGGTAAGATTTTTAAGCAAGTAAAAAGCACTTAAAAGGTAAGCAGCAATCTTTAGATATTTTTTGTTATGCAATGTGAATGGGAGCATGTAACAAATTATAAAATAGGTGTGATGCCAATTTTGGCTGAAAAAAGTAGAAATGCACTTAAAGGTAATTTAAGGTGGTTTTAAAGACTGCAATGGTCTTTAAATGTTTTTTTAATGTTATGAATGTTTCATACTTGTTTTTGTTTTTTGTTTTTATAAAACATTTGTTATTTGAGCTTTTTTAGACAATAGGGAAAAAAAGGCATGCAGATAATTAATTTAAACATTTAAAGAAACAGTACATAATCTTTCTTTGTGCTTTCTCTATTTTTTATTGTATTATGTTGTTGTTTCATGCATTTTTACATATAACAAAATACACAAAACAGTAAAAAAAACAGTGGGTACTGTCTCTTTTAATGCTTTATTTAACTATTTTTATTCTCCCCCCCCCCCCTTTTTTTAA